CTCCCTAGCCAAACTAATCCCACCCGCCTTCGTGGAGAAGCTGCGCACGTGCCAGGCCCATGAGGGTGAGCCCGTGAGACTGGTGGTCAAGGTCACCGGTGAGCCCACCCCAGAGGTGTCCTGGTTCCGTGACGGGGCCAAGCTGGTGAGCTCCCCGGACTTCCAGATCAGCCATGAGGGAGACGTGCACTCCCTGTACATCCCCGAGGCTTTCTACGAGGACTCGGGCAAGTTCAGCGTGCGCGCTGACAACCCGGCGGGAGAAGCCGTCTGCTCGGCACAGCTACACGTGCAGCGTGAGTAGATAATTATAGATACATATGTAATAACATGAGTAGATAAATATAGATACATATGTAATAACGTGAGTAGATAACTATAGATACCTATGTAATAACTTAAGTAGATAACTATAGATACCTATGTAATAACGTGAGTAGATAACTATAGATACATATGTAATAAAATGAGTAGATAAATATGTGAGGCATCGTGGTGAAATCAGGCGCTCGCCAAAATAATGAAATCGTTCTTCCCGCATAGCAATATTTATCAATTTTTTGTTTCTTTTGCTCAACACCATTTATGTCCTTTAAAAAACAAATACCCGTGAGGAGTTATACCGAAAAACGTTGATTTAAAGCCACACAAATGTACATTTACAGTTTCCATGAACTCTCCAGCTTTGAAAGTTATCAAGCCTGGGCGGTCATTTTCTCGCTAGTTTTATCTCAGAAACAAAGTCATCTACACCCCCTTCAATCCAAAAATATCTCCACTTCTATTGAAGATAGATGTGTATTTTTTTTCGTTGAAAGCAAGACAAACGAACCAGCTTCAAGATGATACCAATAACTCAGTATGCACAAAAATTGACGAGCGCCTGATTCCACCGCAACGTAGCAACAATTCTCTCTAACAAGTTAGCTACAAAACTGACCGGTGTATGGAATACAGACTGTCGGACTCACTCACTCTCTCTCTCTCTTACAACATCCACCC